CTACTATGTATTTTCATGCAATTTGTTTCTCTTAACACGAAACAAAAACTGCTTAACATGAAAAGATATCCTTTCTGGAAATGAACAAAATACAGAAAAACACTGGCATCGCTGGCGAGATTTTAAGCGGGGTGTGAAATGAAAGAGAGGTGGTTTCACATGTTTCGTAGAAAAGAGGCTAATTTGGCTTTGAAATACCCTCGGAATAGCCTGTGACACGAGCCAGTTTTGTTTATCTACGGTACTTTCGCCTTCCACGTCTACAAACGCCACACAAACATCTCATCTCTCATCAGTTAGCTTTGGAATTCAGTGATGAGTACATGGCAGTGTGAGTAAAAATTAGTGAGTTTGGCTCATATGTTGCACTGCATAGAATTCAGCGACTCCAAGGATGAATGAAAATTATTTTCATTACACACAATTCTCAAAAGTATCAGATTCTTCGGCGCCGAAAGAAATGGAGAAGTAGGATATTGAAACTGAGCTGACACTTAATGAAATGTTTGAGAAAGTTTCTGTATTAATGAACTGTCCTACTGTACTATCGGAAGAATTCGTTGCAGTAGTTTATGATAATGTGTGTACAGCCCCAATTATGGCAGACAAAGTTATTTTGGAGTTTGTTCAAAGCTAAAAAATATCATTGATGCAGATTCTGATGACGAAAATAAATGAATAATGCAGTTCCTGTTCCCACGTCATCCGAAATGAGGAATATCATAAAAAGTATGGACAGTTATTTAGACGCACATTCCAATGGTGAAATGAATAACAAAATGTTTGACATTGAACAATTTGATGCTAAAAAAGACAATGCAAAGAAAAATATCAGATTATTTTCCCAAAACTCAATAAATGTTTTGTTTTTCAAAAACTTGAAAATTTTGTATTAAATTCCATTAAGTTCTTGTGGATGTTTTTGTTTCATTGGTTTTTATTAAATACATGCATATATACATATCTATGTAAATAAAATGTACTCTAATAAGCTTAATTTTGTTGAATATATGCTTTTTTTTTTTCTTTTCAATATTCTTTAACACGAAAAAAATATTTCAGTCCCCTCAGTTTTGTGTTAAATGACTTTCACTGTATATCTCTTGCACATAAATCCCTTTCTTACATAAAATATAACTGTAAGTATAGAATAACTAAATAAATTGTAAAGGAAGTTTAATTAGCAACTATGAAATCTTAAAAAAGTACATAGTATGAAATTTATAATGGCAAACATTAAAAATAGATGAAAGTAAATAAAATTTAAATTATAGAATATACTTTATAAAATTAATAATAAGTGGTTAAAATATATTTTTTAATTACTTAAAACATAGAAGTTATTTGGCAGAGATTGTTGGATATGAAATTACTACTTCAAATTTTCAGATTACTATTGTTCATATTTAAAGTCTCAACTTGCAGTCTTAATCCACATAACAACCATTGTAAAAATCACCCGTTATCATATTCCAAAGATCAGCAGCATACATTTTTTTCAAAATCGTGCATAATATTAAATATTGGCTTTTGATAGTCAAGTTGATACAAATAAGATGAACTGTTTTTATGATTTTAGACTAGTAGTTTATTCTTACATTCACTTATTACAATATTTCATTTTTTATATGCTCGGCTATCCAAAATTTCAAGAGCTTTCCGGATATTTTTTTTTTTGTCGAGTTTTTACTATACATACATTTCAGCATTTACATCGTCAAAATTACACAGACACATACTTGAAGTGAATTTACTTTTACAGCTAAACACAGGAACTGGAAAACAAAAAAGTACTTATTCGGAGATTGTATTTCTTTTTCGTTTTGTATTTCTTTTTCGTTCATGAAAATCAAAGTTCATTACACAAACATGCATTCACACTGCACAAGCATGTATGGAAATTCTTAATACATTTATACTGATAATTTAGTAAATAAATCAGAAAATATTTTAATGTATAACAAATAAGTAAGTAGTTATTTAGTAGTTAAGCTTTTATAAAACAGAGCATAATAACACAGTTACAAAGATATTTAATGTTATAAAGTTAGGTAATTTAGTAAATTTCAGTTGTTCATCAAAGCAATGAATTATGAAGTTCCTTGTGTATCTTTATAAATGAACTTTATTGCTGTTTTAAGCAACTTGAACAGCTGTTCAAGTTATTTTAATAATTTTGAAATATATACACTAAAAGAAACAATAAAATGTATTAATCTATTTGTCAAACTTGATTTTGGCACGAAAGTCTGCAGAATGCTTCGTAGTTTTTAAGCACATAGAGGCACTGCAATTCTTCTTATTCCTTGATCTGAAGTTTTCTGCAATTTTTTTTTTTTTTTTTTTTTTTAAATTGCTGTATTGGCACACATATAATTTTTGTATAGTGGCTTCAGATGTGGATAAGTTTTTCAAACACTTTCGTTTATTTTACTGGCGTCGCTGAATTTTGCGATGAAATGCAGCACATTTATTGCCGAGTATCACCTTCCAGACTTTTCATACTGTTAATGTATACATCAGCAGTGAATTATTCTCCTCTTTCCTCAAATACACTACGGCGTTAAACAATAACCATTCACTAAAGATTTTGCGTAAATTTCCACTCATAATAATTTAAATTGCGAAAATCTCACAATTAGCACCTAAACACACTATTCAGGAGCACAATTCTTTCGAAAGCGCACCGTAGTAGTCAAAAGTGGGGTAGGCGTCTTGCCAAACTAGTCGATATTTCCGTGACGTCAAAAATTTGAAAAGTGGGGTAGGGTTTGGAAATACGCCATGACCTAATTTATATACGAAAAAATCTTTGGCTGTGAAGATATTCTCTACCCCTTGTCGACAATACCAATTCAACGGCGCTGGTCAAACTTCCTTATACCCTGCTCGTACACTCCTTCAACACCCCAAATTACCATCACTCACTACACAGTCCTTAAGACAAGAAAGCCCCAGGGCAGGATGGCATCTCGACCAAAACACTGAAATATCTTCCGATCAACGCTGCTACCTGCCTAACTAAGATTATCAACAACATTATCAAATTCGCTCATTTTTCTAGCCCATGGAAGCAAGCTATAATTTTTTTTTCCTAAACCCAGGGGCATAGCTAGAGGGGGCATCTGTCCCCGGGCGCAGAATCCAAGGGGCGCCAAACTGATGTTACGACATTTTAGAATTAAATGTTTTCCATTCTTGGCAAGCAGTAGGGGGCGCGAAATCCTCAGTTGTTCCTGGGCGCTGAAAACCCTATCTACGACTCTGCCTAAACCGCAACAAAATCTCACCTTCCCACAGAACTATCTCTCTATCAGTTTACTAAGCCATCTTTCTAAAGTTACTGAGAAAATTCTTCGTTTCCACATCCAAAGAATTCACCCTTCCATGAATTTTCTCCCAGAAGAACAATTCGGTTTTCGCAATCATCTTAGCACTTGCGATCAACTTCTTAGAGTTATCAACATTATCATTGAAGGCTACAACTGCAAGCTTCCGATCGGTGCCATATTCCTCGATATCGCGAAAGCCTTTGACAGGGTATGGCATCGCGGCCTTATTTACAATTAATCACTCTCAATTTTCCAGATCATTTTATTCGCTTAATAGCCTCTTTTCTCAGCGACAGAACATTCAGAATCAAAATCCAACTCAGAATCAAAGAAAAAAAACTCAACCATCAGAGTAATCAAAGTTGGTGTTCCACAGGGGTCGGCACTTTCACTGTACCTTTTTAATATTTACACGCAAGACATCCCTAAAGACACTTCTGTTCATCTTGCACTCTTTGCGGACGACAGTGCCATACTTACTAAAGCCTGCACAGCAATAGCTGTAAGAAACCCACTCCAAAGCTGGAAAACTGGAAAAATGGCTCACCCTTTGGAGGATTAAAATTAACACTGATAAAATCAAGGCAATAATTTTCCGTAAGGGAAACATGAAATACTATTCTCCACCCCCTGAAATATTTGACGAAGAAATAGACTGGATTAATGAAACCAAATACCTTAGAGTTAGCCCTAGGTCAAAAACTTACCTTCAGAATCCACTTCCGCTACGTAGCAAAAGAAAAAGAATTTTAAATCACCACAGCTATTATGCGACCTCTTCTTGGTAGAAGAAGCAAATTATTTACTGCAAAAAAAATAATTTTATATCGCTCCATACTTCGTCTAGCCCTCCTTTATGCAGCTAAAACTAATATTAAACAATTACAAATTCTGCAAAATAAAATTTCACGATAAATTATCAATGCTTCTTGGTATATTCCAAACTCCTACATTCACAGAGACTTTCAAATCGAATCTATTCAAGAGTATATTAAACGATTAGCAGTCAACTTCTTTCCTTCAGTACAAACCCACAGTAATAGCCTTATTAGCACTCGCATCCCGGTGAAATCATAGCACTTGCCGTCTACTTCTTTGAGTTGATGGCATCAACTTCTCGCATCCCGGTGAAAAACATCGTTATCCCTGTGACATCCTACTCACATAACAAATAGAACCAAAATTGACTCATTCCCGCTTAACTGACTTTGCAGTTTCACCCGCTGCTTCATCATGTAACGTCTTTGACCTAACCACCACCCCCTCATTCGCCGCCGCTAGCACGGACCTGACTCTCTTTTTTCCCTTCCCACATTTCCTACTACTTCCTACTACTACTCTTCTTTCTTTTTCTTCCAGACTGTTATCAGAAGTCGAGTATTAAGATGTTTTTACATCTTTTTTTGACACTCGAGAATAAAATACGATCTGTCTGTCAGGAAGAGAAAATTTTGGTGTAGCACCAGAGTGACTGTGTCCAAGACCCTACCCCGCATTGAAGAATAGTGCTGTTTACGAATGATACAGGAAAATAACTTGTACAGCTTACACATTATAAATTCAAGAAATGTATATGCAAACACATTTACATGACATGGTTTTTTTTTTTTTGTTGTTGTTGTTGTTGTTGTTGTTGTTGTTGCAAACTTTGAAATATATATCTGGCAACGTCGTTTGAGTCGGAAATTATATGTATTTTATGCAGCAGTGCGAAGCAATAATTATTGTTTTGTAATCTGATGTTTTGTTGAACGTCTCAATTTTTATTCAAAAATTTCCTTTTTTCGATAAATTTAACTGATAATTAGGGCATCTGTAGATTTTCTACCAATGATGTACAAAGTCGTTTAAGAAATGAAGTAAGTGAAACATGCCTTGGATTTGAAGCAGGGCATCGTAAATTCATTTTATTTTCTGAAAATGCTTATCTAAATCGAAATAATTAAACTTATATCAATAGATGCTTAAACTACGTTTAAGTCTGACATAGTGTAAACAAAATTTGTAATAATTCTTAACGTCTGCATTACTTTTAATGTTAGAGTAATGTATTGTGTGAGTATATTTTATAGCTAATTGAGATACGTGTGTCTTCGTGAACTTGATTTAAGATGAACTGTTGCTTTTTATAGTATATAACAGTGTTTTTGATGTTTTTATGGTTCTATTTGTGTTTATTAAGTAATTTTTAATTCCTACATAGCTTTAAAAATTGCTGAACTTTTATAAAATTAATATGCATTGTCTTAAAAAGAAGTAAGAAGAAATTGGTGAATTTTTTTTTTTCAGTGCTTACTAATTTATTATTTACTGGTAAAATTTGTAAATATAAGTGTGCGTCAGTTTAATAGTTACAGAGAAATCGTGAATTGTATATAGTATTCATGTGATTTGCAATAATACAGCAATGTGTTGTGTATCATTATAGTTTTTAAGTAGTGGATGTAGCACAGTTTTTGGTTGTGTGGATATGGATGTAGTATAGTTTTGATATGAGTATGTGTGGATGTAGCAGTGATGTATAGACAGCTTTAATTCCTACAGTATAATGCAATTATCTCGTCTGAATTGATATAATGTTTTCTTCCCCCTCCCCCAAATAAATCTGTTATTTTGAAATATATATATTTTTCTGTGTTGGGAGGGAAGAGGGAGTGATTGCGAATCTTGTTTATTTAATAATAGAAATACCGCAAAAGCAATTTTCACATTATCTTTTTTTACATATAAATACTAAAAAATATTCTATATATATATTAAATTATTTTAATTGATTTTGTGCATTATTTGTTCTGGTGTAGTATAAGAAATAAAGTGCATGGTATAATAATAATTTGGTATGCTAAATGTTGAAGATGCTCTCATACAGTTCTGAATTTGTAATTTAAATCATGCTCCTCTATCCACTTTTTCAGTTATCCAGAGCTTACTAATGTAGAATAAAAAAGGGTCTTAAGTTTTGGCATCTTCGCCAAGTGACAATTATGTATAACATAGAAAAATATACCACTCGGGTACTATCTTTGTAATCATCCATGCACCTACAAGCTCCTTTCAGGCAGTTAAACTGACTTCAGGCCCAAGTGGATAAGAGCACTGATAATTCAACTTAAATTCAGATCCCACAGAACAGGTTGGCAGCATGTATATTTTTTGGGTACTATTCCATTAAAGCAGTATTAGTTAAAAATGTGTCACTTTTTTTACCACCAATTGTTGACAAGTATAAAATTATGAAATTAGAGTTCAAAAGACTAAAAAAATTAGTTCTGTAGAAAGTATTTTTTTTTTTTTTTCCTTTTTAATTTTTTAATCTGCAATATTTTACATGTAAATAAAAAAAATGACAAAACAATGAGAAATTTGATTAAACAGGTAGCATAAAATGACAAATATTCAGTATTGCAGAAAAAATTTCATTTTTTGATTATAACCAACACCATGTGAATTCTATCAAATAATGAACTGCTGATCCATTTAGCACTGCCCTACAATCACTCCCCAGTTTAGATATGGCATCTAGTTTCAGGGTCTATAAAATTATAAATGTGATTCACAGTGAAATGTTCATATCCAGCATTTTTAATTTCTCTTTCTTATATCCTTTCTATCATTCTGAAAATATAATGCTGCCATCCACAATGTTTTCCTGAATGGCTGTCATCAATGTTGTAGCACAACGAGCTTGAACACCGACCAGCAAACGTTCTTTGCTTTCCTGGCATAAACCCCGGAATACCCATCGTTCTAGAAGAACACATCCGACTTTTTTTTTTTTTTTTTTTTTTTGTGAAAAGACTTAAAAGGAGTTATTCCAATCTAGTGTCATATTATGGCTGATTTCTAGGGTAAGTTGGCAAAATTCAATCGACGTGAATTCTTGACACCACAGATAGTAAAACGAACGGCATTGAGGAAAGAAAGAAACGAGGGTTGATCTTTACATTATGGTAACTTGGCGAAAATTTGGCGACCAACTCTCCTACAGCAACCCTCTATTTTTTTTTCCCCGCCGCCATTTTGTCTTCACGAAGTAAAGACGTGTTTCTTTTCTTTTTATCTACTGAACACTTCTTCCAACAATCTACTAGCCGAATTACACTTATGCTAGAAATTTTATCTAACAAAACTGCTTAATCATGACAAATATTCACTGCAAAATTGGGAAAAAGTGCACAATACCATACTCCTTACGCGTTTTTCAAAATAACACATACACATAAACCATGTACACGCCGACTATTTTTACTTAAAAAAACATCCCAGAATTGCACAAAAATGGCATTGCGCACACTCTTCACTATATCCATGTACACTGCTTTTTTCTCATAAATTAGAAAATTTCACGAAAATACATGACAATTTTCTCAATCTTTAAACCCGGTAAAAAGAACATATATGAAATTACCTGATCGCGAAAAAGTATTTACTCTTTCCAAATATGAACATTTCCACATATAAAATAAATAAAATATCCAAAAACTTTTTACCTCTAAATCATCTATTACATTATTATTACACGTCACCAACGAATTCATACCGCAAGCATTACAAATACTTAGTATCAAATATTTAAATTATTTCCATGCACGTTTACTTCAACTTAAACGTATACCAAATTCCTACAAACATAAAATTCACAAAATAATTATCATTTAATTAAAATATAATTAAATTCAAAAACACTACTTAAAATATAAATGAGCACATACATTAAATTAATAAAAATTACCTTACAATCCTAATTACTTTAAACTAAATCATTGCTAATAACAATTTTCCCAATAATACCAAATTCCTTTACTTCCACCTTACATTTAGAACAATGCATAAAAATAATATCCTCAAATAATTAAAAATACTAAACTTACCTAATCTTCTTCAGAATCTTGATTACGTGGTCCGATAAACTTTTCTTCTTTCTCTTTCAGGATCTTTAAAAATCATACTTATATTTCACAGCAAGGTACCAGGTAAAATAAATAACTTAATAAAACATCTTTATTTCTATCTCGCACAACCTTAAAGAAACATTTATTACTACCCTTTTCAATACCACTAAATACCCATTTCGAATTCACTTTACATAGCGGCCATGGGATCCAAAAATTAATCAACACTGTTTCACACAACACACTATGAAGCTAAAGCCAAAATGCTAAACGCAATAAAAATTTCCAGATTTTTCCCGATTTCCCCCCTTTTCCGATTAAAGAACCGTAATTCGTCCATTAATATCACATGATATATCCCATGATCTCTCATTTCCCTCACACAAAATAATGCGTAATCGGAACTGAGTACTGCTCACATTATTACCAAAGTCCCAGGTAGTAACCTTTATCGCCTCCAAAATGTCGCCAAACTACCAGTTACCATATTGTAAAGATCAACCGAAACGAGCTTTCAAATTATGTTTTGCAGTTAATCTTTGGATTATGGTAACTTGGCGATTTTTTGGCGACAATTTTTCTTTCTCAGCTTTTAGCAATTTACTTTGGTTTGGTAGTTAATATTTGCTTGTTTCTTTGCGTATTTTTTCTTTCCATAATAATATAACAATATACATAATAACAGTTTATATAGGCTTTGTTTAAGTGCGTCTTCATCAGAAGAATGTATGAATATTGTGGCATATTGAACATGAAATCTTTAGCCACTTTGCTTCTGTCAAAACTGTGAATAATCGATCCTGTTTTTATATTGTTTATTAAAAAAATGTTGTTGTTCTTTCGAATCTTTCATCACATAGGTAATAATGTGTAAGCAAGCATGAAAGTTAAAATGCTGGCTACAGATAGTTAGAATCAAGGCTGTGGAGTCGGTAGGGAAAATGATTGACCTCCGACTTTTGGAATTTTAATGACTCCGACTCTCTCATATATATATATATACAGTCAAAAGTCTTTAATCCGGATTCGTCGATTCCGGATTATCGGTTTTTCCGGATTATAGAACATCAGTTTAAATCTGGTAAGATGGCATGCAGAAATTATAAAATTAAAAATATGAAACCGTAATTTATGAAATAAAGAGCAATTATGATCTAAAGGTTATCAAAATTTACAAAAAAAAAGGGCTTAATATTTATTTGTTTACTTTTTTAAACATTTCTTTCAACACGCGCATGCGTAAAGCAGACATTACGCATTGTCGCAATTAGAAAATTGCAACCAGAAAACTATTTGATGTGTATTCGTGATATTTATAATGACGAGGAATTTGATTTAAATCATATCGAAGACGGAGTACAACGAGATGAAATACTACATTTAGTAAGGAATTATAAGCCGAATAAAATAAAAGCATCTGCCCTGATAAGGATAGTGCTGACAGATCAACTTCCAGTTCATTGCGCGCCGCTACGTCCCCCCCCCCCGGCAGAGCAGCGTGAAATTGATAAACAGATTTCGGAAGGGTTAGAGAAACAAATCACTTCTCTGTCACTTTCTTCATGCCTTTATCCATTTTTTGCAGCAATTCCATTTTTTGTTTGATGGACATCGAAATATGCTTTCGCTTTGTAGATCCTTCGGCAACTTCAGAATCAGAAATTCTGTTTGGGATAATCGAAAGTTCAAGCTTACTTTTATAAAATTACTCTAACAGTCTGCAAAAAATAATAAGCCGGTTCCAATTCGAAGATTAAGAAACAACGCAATCTGCAACATTAACTGAAATAGATAATTATATAATTTTAGCTTATACCGTCCGTTATACATTAAACACGCATGAGTAAAGGTATTAGGCGTTTATGCATGCGCAGAAAGTTTGTAGCTTTGTGGTCCAGATTATAGATCATTTCGGATTATGGACATCCGGATTAAAGACTTTTGACTGTATATATATATTTGTAATA